ATTTCAGTTACACATATGGTCCATTCATTGCCTTGCAATATACTGTGTATAGTGACATTTTGGAGCCTTGACTGTTTTTTATGCTGCTGGGGATGATACTTCCATCTTGTACTTAATTAGTACATTACTGGGATGTTCACCATACATGGTGCAGATATGGACCTACGGAATGTGAGTGAATTTCTTATGTTTTAATGTGCAAATAAAAGTTTTAAAGGATAAAGCACTATTTTGAGTTTTGTTTATGAAGAATACGGCTGAGGCTGATGCGGTTATCAGGAGGGAGCATCTTTTGGAGCTATCATTCAGCAATTTGATCTTCAGAGTCCATACATTTGGGAACAAAAGTGCAGTTAGACCAAAACATTGTATAATATGCTGGAGGTGAGCAGATATATGGTGGAGGTTATTTTGCACTGGTTTTCTGCGACAGATGCACACGGTGGTTGTTATTTCAAGGAGGGGTCACAGGAGAATACTTAAAATATTGGACTTTAACCAAATAAATTTTTTTGGACAATTCATTTTATTTAAAAAATGTTTTGAGTCACTTAGTTTCTGTTTTTGACATCACCAGGGGCGGACTGATCATTTGGAAACTCGGGCACTGTCCGAGGGCCCGGGGTCAGTAGGGGGCCCCATGAGATGCCCCTGGTACCTTTTTCATAGGCTTTTTTGAGTTTGGGTAAGGACACAGGGGCCCATGATTCCCTATTGTCCTGTGGCCCCATGAGTTGTCAGTACGCCCCTGGACATCACTGTTTTATGTATAGATATATGGTTTAGGTATTGTGCACTTTGTTATATGTAGCGCAGCATATTTTCATTTATATTATTCATTATTATTTCATTTCATTTATATTATTCATTATAATTTCATTTCATTTATATTATTCATTATTATTTCATTTCATTTATATTATTCATTATTTAGCCCACTGAGACATGGGTTTTGTGCACTAGCAGCCACAGTTTTATTTTTTTGTATTTGTATTCACCATAGTAAGCGCTTGAGGTTATTCACATTATGCATTGTCTCCTTTAAGCATGTTTTGTATTTACAGAGTGGTACTTTATCCCTGATGAAGGTAGTAAAATGCAAGAATTCGAAACTTGTAGGATTTCCAGTCCATGGAACAAGCTGACAGTCAATGATTCACAACTGTATAGTTGAAACTAGTTGATGGGAGTACCACTTTGATATATTAATATCATTATAGATTATTGGTATCACCATTGGTCTTATAATAAATGCATTTTTTTTTTTCTTTTCAGTTTTTTGTTACAAAGAAATTTTGGGGATTTTAAATTAGATGGATTTTTTTAAAAATCTGCATTAAAGCAATATTTTTAACAAAAACATTTTCTTTGTTGGTTGCCCTTAAATTACCATTAGAGGATAATTTGTATAGAACTGGGAAGGTGGCAACTTCATCCTCACCTAAAGTGACTTTTCCTTAAAGAATCCTGATAACTTTGTCTGGGTAAGTTTTTGTTCTCCCCTGCTCTGTGTGCTGGGAATTGTAGTTTATCTGTACCCACTCACCATGTGTAATGCTCCTCCAGAACTACAATTTTCAGTGTCTTTTGTAGGGGAGTCCATTCTCTTAAACATTGCTGTTGATTGGTGAAGGTCCATCGGTTCCTCAAAGAGGAGAACTGAGGAGCAAGCAGGGGGTCATATACAGAGCCCCAGAGTGAAAGGAGAAATCTGGATACTGCTGAAAACACACAGCCCGGTGCTCCTCTCTGCCTCTCACAGTTCCTCAGTGTGGGAAGAGAAGAGAAAGAAACTGGGGGAGACACAACCTGCTCTGTTTATTCACCACAGATACTCTACACACAACAGTGGCATCAGTGGTGGTGGGGGTGTGAGCAGAGAGAGCAGGCACTGGATATACACACACACCGCCGGAGACTCCAGCGGTGGAGGTTCTCACAGCTGTCATTAGTGAGTCTTAGGAAGAATTCCCTCTTTTTTTGTGTAAATAGGTCAAAGAGAGTGCTAAATGAAAATCCTTAGGAGTCCGTACCTCTGTACAAGCAGAAAAATTCATAAAGTTATGTGAAAGGGAAACTTTTGGATCTTTACCCTGAACACATTATCCCCAGTGGGATTAAAGAGGAAACTGAAGTCAACACAGTTATTTAGTCTCCCAGTCCCCCAAGTTCTCAGGCTTATTTTCCAAGACCTTTCTTGAAATGTTTAACTGATTTTGTATATGTATTCTCAATTTTTATACATCGTTTTATATTTATTTGTATATACATTCACCGGCCACTTTATTAGTACACCTTGCTACTGCCAAGAAAATATCCCCCAACCTTTATACTACCAGCTTGAATCGTTGAAACAAGGCAGGATGGATCCATGCTTTCATGTTGTTCATGCCAAATTCTTGCCCTACCATCTGAATGTTGCAGATGAACCAGTCTGCCCATTCTTCTCTGACCTCTGACATCAAAAAGGCATTTTCGTCCACACAACTGCTGCTCACTGGATATTTTCTTTTTTTCGGACCATTCTATGTAAAACCCTAGAGATGGTTGTGTATGAAAATTCCAGTAGATCAGCAGTTTTTGAAATTTTCAGACCAGCCTGTCTGGCGCCAACAACCATGCAACGTTCAAAGTCACTCAAATCCCCTTTCTTCTCCATTCTGATGCTCAGTTTGAACTTCAGCAAGTGATCTTTACCACGTCTAGATGCCTAAATACACAGTGATTGTGTTCTGTGAATCTGTTCTTGCAATTGCAATGTTAACTTTTATTTTCAGTGTCTCAGCCAGAAACCTTCCATACCATTTGTGGTGAGTCAGATATCAGGAATGTGCAGAGTCCCCAAAAGGCACCATGTTCTGATCGGGACCATTGTGAACACAGACCTCTAAATGTTGGCTAGGTAAGTTTTCCTTAAGCTTGTCCTCTGTCAATTCTCAAGGAGACCAGACCAATTCTCTGACCTTTCTGGCTGGTAAAGTGTGTATGTGTCAGCGTGTTTGTGTCCCCCTTCACGGGCTATCATGTGTGTGGATAGGAAAATCCCTCTGCATTTCTCTATATTGACTCCATATGGGCAGCCTGAGTTGGAGGTGCATGGTAGGGTCAGAGTAAAATCAATAGAGAAGAATCAAGGAGGGTCTCTTAGTGAGTGTTTTGACCATTGTCACAAACTCCTTTTATCCACAAAGATGAGTGGAGAAATATTTTTTTTAGAGGCAAGAGTGTATAGGCACAAGTAGAGAAGACCAGACAATCATTATGGGCATTAAATTGAATAAGGGAATAAAAGGTAAAAGAGTACCTTCAGAAAATGTCCTGCGCAAGATGAGCGCTGAAGAATATATGAACCGCCGGTATGGTTCTGCCTGTGCGGAGCCCCTAGATACAGTTGTGTTCAAAATAATAGCAGTCAGACATCACTAACCTGATCAATCACTGTTTTTGGTAGAAGTGATATTTCTACATGGCAAATAATTTACTAGCAGGTGTAGTAGAGTAATAGAAATCCAACAGACCCAACAGTCATGACATGCATGCTGCTGATTCTGTGTAATTGAATCACTAATTGAAAGGGGCATGTTCAAAAAATAATAGCAGTGTGGAGTTCTATTAGTGAGGTCATTCATTCTTTGAAAAACAGGTGGCAATTATTGCCCTTATTTAAGGAAGGAAGGCAGCAAATATTGTCCATGCTGGTTACAGTGCATTTCTCTCTGAAATTCTGAGGAAAATGGGTCGTTCCACACATTGTTCAGAAGAACAGCGTACCTTGATTAAAAGGTTGATTGGAGAGGGGAAAACATATAAAGAAGTGCAGAAAATGATCGGCTGCTCAGCTAAAATGATCGCAAATGCTTTAAAATGGCAACCAAAACCTGAAAGATGTAGAAGAAAGCGAAAAACTACCATTCGAATGGATAGAAGAATAGCCAAAATGGTGCGGGCTCAGAAAACAATCAGCTCCAGGAAGATGAAAGAAGGTGTAAAGTTCCCTGTGAGAGGACTGTTACAATTAGAAGACGCCTATGTGAAGCCAAGCTATCTGCAAGAAGCCCCCGCAAAGTCCCACTGTTGAAAAAAAGACATGTGCTGAAGAGGTTACAATTTGCCAAAGAGCACATTGACTGGCCTAAAGAGAAATGGTGCAACATTTTGTGGACTGATGAAAGTAAGATTGTTCTTTTTGGGTCTAGTGGCCGGAGACAATTTGTCAGACGACCCCCAAACACTGAATTCAAGCCACAGTACTCTGTGAAGACAGTGAAGCATGGTGGTGCAAGCATCATGATATGGGGATGTTTCTCATACTACGGTGTTGGGCCTATTTATCGCATACCAGGGATCATGGATCAGTTTGAATACATCAGAATACTTGAAGAGGTCATGCTGCCTTATGCTGAAGAGGAAATGCCCTTGAAATGGGTGTTCCAACAAGACAACGACCCCAAACACACCAGTAAACGTGCAACATCTTGGTTCCAGACCAACAAGATTGACGTTATGGAGTGGCCAGCCCAATCCCTGATCTTAATCCAATAGAAAACTTGCGGGGTGACATCAAAAATGCAGTTTCTGAGGCAAAAGCAAGAAATAGAGAAGAACTGTGGAATGTTGTCCAATCATCCCTGGGCTGGAATACCTGATCACAGGGACCAGAAGTTGGGTGACTCCATGCAACACAGATGTACAGCAGTTCTCAGAAACAGTGCGACTACAACCAAATATTCATTAAGTGATTCAAAGGAAAGCAAAATCTTCAAACATTTTCAGTTTATATAGTGAATGTTTGAGTTTGTAAAGAAGAATACAAACACTGTGATTTTTTTGAACAGTCTAATACTCACTTTTCTTCAATTTTTTTAGAGGATCAACACAAATTTGATATATTTTTCTTTATGTTTTGATTTGGAATAGAATGTGTCGTGTTCCCAATGCATTTGTGTGTATGGAAATAAAAGCTATTTGGATTCTTTCTAGGATCCCCCAGTCCCTCTAATACGGCTCTCATTTCTTGGGGCTAAAAGGTACATGCCATTTAATTTGAGACCAGGGGTGGACTGACAACTCATGGGGCCCCTGGGCAATAGGGGATCATGGGCCCTTGTGTCCTTGCTCAAACTCAAAAAAGCCTATGAAAAAAGGTACCAGGGGCATCTCATGGGGCCCCCTACTGACCCCGGGCCCTCGGGCAGTGCCCGAGTTTCCAAATGGTCATGTACCCCTGGACACAACAGACCTAGAAATTCTCACTCTCTCTCTCCCCCTCCCTTCTCAAGGTTTTAGTTTCACAACTGTTAGACATAGTCTATGACAAAATAAATGTAACAGTATTCTATTTGCTAATTTTTATTAATATCTCACACCACCCCCTTTTTTATCTGCTGTATAAAATAGAATGTAATAATAAATCCCGTCAGAGTGGATACTTTAAAGCACAGTGATTGTGTGAATCTGTTCCTGCAACTGCAGTGTTAACTTTTATTTTCAGTGTCTTATCCAGAAATCCTCTGTAACAGCGGGCTGGTCTGAGTATTTTAAAAACTGCAGATCTACTGGGATTTTTGTGCACCATCATCTCTAGGGTTTACAGAGAGTGGTCTGAAAAACAGAACATATCCAGTGAGGGGCAGTTGTGTGGACAACAATGCCTTGTTAATGTCAGAGGTCAGAGGAGAATGGGCAGACTGGTTCATCTGCAACATTCAGTTGGTAGGGTCAGAATTTGGTGAAAACAACATGAAAGCCATGGATCCATCCTGTCTTGTATCAACCGTTCAGGCCGGTGGAGGTGGTGTACTGGTGTAGGGGATATTTTCTTAGCATTAGCAGTAACAAGTTGTACCTAAAGAAGTGCCCAGTGAGCATATGTGTGTATAAACCTTCCATGATACATGCATGTATCTTGTTTTTTTAGAGTGACAGAACCTCTTTTATTGTCCACATTTAATGCCCCTTTTCATTTGGGCGTATATAGAGATTTTGCATAACTGGTGCAATGGAACTGGACCCCGACTGCACTAGGATATTTCTGTTAGACTCCCTATTCCTATTCAAACACAGATCCACGGACACCACCGCTGGCCATACAAGATGAAACAGCACCAGACTTGTATTAAAACAGGAAATAGACTGCTTTATTTTAACACAGACACAAGATATATACACAGGGCGGGGCAATACATTTAGTAACAAGAGACACATCCCAAACGACAGTCCTGTCATGAGGGCTGCTGGAAACACCCCCACCCCACCAAGTCAATACACACAAACACATACATCCCATAATAGTTTGCTCACAAGCAAGACACAATAGAACAATGGGACCACGTAGCAGTAAACAATGAACAACCCCCACACCCCACCTATACATGTCTACTCAATTGCAGGACATTTCACCCTGTACCCCTAACAGGCACAGGGTGACTTACACATAATAGGGATATGGGGAGCTAAGACAGGGGTCTCCCCACCTCTGTGTTCCATGGGCCCCCCGCCCAAAGTCACTCCAGTCACAACTGGACTTGTGACTTAGACACTTTTATAATAGGTCCTCCTTTTTCCTTCTTCTTTAAATGCTGATAATATCCTGATCACGTTTTGATCTTTTTATTCAACATTTATATTTAACAATGTAACCTTATATTTTTGGCTGTATATGTTCAAGAATTGTTTCAATAGATGGCCTTTATTTACACTTTTCATTGTTTTGTATCATATTGCAACTTGATTGGGTTTTTTTTTAGGAATTTTCATTAGTTTCTTAATTAGAGATGAGCGAATCGAACATGACGAAGTGGAATTCGTTCCGAAGATTTGGAAAAATTCTATTCGCGACGAATCCGAAGATTAGCAAACTTCGGATGCACGAATCGAATTTTCCCAAAAATGGCGGCGACATGTGTGGCGACGGAGAAAATGGACAGAGAAGATGGGGCGGGGATCTCTGGGAAGGCGCGCAGACAAGGCGCGCTGACCCATAATGCATTCATGACATGTGATCGCATTAGCCAATCAGCAGCCAGCCAGCACTGTGTAATGGTGGAGCTATAAATCGCGGCCATCTTAGAATTCTCCATTAGCCTCCGGTCATTCAAGAGAGACAGACCTGTGTGTATTAAGGGACAGAGTTAGAATATTGTTGTTGTATTTTTTTTACTTTTTTGGTGTATTTTGTTTTTATTGTAATTTTTTTATGTACGAGTTTATTTACATCTTTGTATATTCTTTGGAATTTTGAAGAGTTTTTTTTGTTGTTAATTTTTTCTCTTCTGTATTTCTTTGCCTGTGTTTTGTGATGTAACCTGTAACATGGCAAAATGTGATTACTTTGTATGTTTACTTTGAAATTTTCTAAATAAAAGAATGAAAATTAAGGGACAGAGTTAGGGCCACAGAGACTTTAGGGCCACAGAATCGTTACTCAGGGACACAGAATCGTTACTCAGGGACACAGAATCGTTACTCAGGGACACAGAATCGTTACTTAGGGCCACAGCTATCAAAGAATCGAAAATTTAAAGTGACATACACCCTTTTTTTTTTTTGGTGGCTCTCGTGCACAGTTGGTGCTGCAGCTTCCCGGATCGCCACTCAGCCATTGGACTCTTGATAGTCGTCTCCCCACACTGCTGCTGGGGGGACTTTTTAACCTAGGCCTGTGTATGGCCTTCAATTGAAGCTGCTTCCGCTCCGCCACTCTGCCATTGGACTCTTGATAGTCGTCTCCCCACGCTGCTGCTGGGGGGACTTTTTAACATAGGCCTCTGTATGGCCTTTAATTGAAGCTGCTTACGCTCCGCCACTCTGCCATGGGCCTCTTGGGTATCCCAGAAGCTGCTCAGCGGGTCAGGGCAATAAAGCTCCCGGTTCGCAGGTTGTTCCGTCTTATGGATGGAAGTACGACGGTATATGATCTTCTTCGCACCCACGGCATTACTTCGTAGAATTTCTGCATTGCATCTGCAATCACAACACTGACTTCCCGGATCGCCACTCAGCCATTGGACTCTTGATAGTCGTCTCCCCACACTGCTGCTGGGGGGACTTTTTAACCTAGGCCTGTGTATGGCCTTCAATTGAAGCTGCTTCCGCTCCGCCACTCTGCCATTGGACTCTTGATAGTCGTCTCCCCACACTGCTGCTGGGGGGACTTTTTAACATAGGCCTCTGTATGGCCTTCAATTTTAGCTGCTTACGCTCCGCCACTCTGCCATGGGCCCCTGTACCGCCTCCTCATGCTGCTGCCAGGCCCGTAATCTGCCATGGGCCCCCGTACCGACTCCTCATGCTGCTGCCAGGCCCGTAATCTGTCATGGGCCCCTGTACCGCCTCCTCATGCTGCTGCCAGGTCCAGAGTGTGTCATGGGTCCCTGTACGGCCTCCCATTGCTGCTGTCTCCATCGCCACACTCTGCCATGTGCCACTTTCAGGTCTCCTCACACTGCTGGTGGGTTCCATTTTGTCATAGGGTGCTGTATGGCCTCCATTGCTGCTGCCTCCACCGCCACACTGTGGCTCCACACTCTGGTTTTGGCCCCGTGACTGCCCAAATGAGTGAAGTGTGCGGTGATTCTAAGATCGACGGCACTCATCTGCATGTCATACTGACTGACAGTATTATTTCTCTTCCCCAGCAGACTCCAAGGGCATTTAAATTAAAGGTACAGTGTTCTGCACTAATATAAAGGCTCTCTGAAGCCTAGAAACACCCTTTTTATAAGTTAAATTTGCAGCGAATATATTCGGCTCGAAGCAAATTTATTCAGCGAATTCGGCGAATCAGCCGAACCGAATTTTTGAATAATTCGCTCATCTCTAGTCTTAATCCTGCCTCCTAAAAACAGCCCAGAAAGTGTTTGTCTTGTATTTCACCTCTTTGGCAATGTGTCAGGAACAAGGGCGGACTGACCATTTGGAAACTCGGGCACTGCCCGAGGGCCCGGGGTCAGTCGGGGGCCCCATGAGATGCCCCTGGTACCATTTTCATAGGCTTTTTTTAGTTTGAGCAAAGACACAGGGGCCCCATGATCCCCTATTGCCTGGGGGCCCCATGAGTTGTCAGTCCGCCCCTGGTCAGGAATGTGTGATGCTCCTGTTTCACAGCAGATACTGGTCGCTTTCCACATCCTGGCTTTGGCAGAGCTGAACTCTCCCTGTCTGACTGTCCGCTAGACATGTGCGGTTTGTTGGGTTCCAAATCAAAGTTTGAATGAATTTTCCTTATTCAGATCTATCTGAATTTCCGAATTAAAATAGGAATTAATTTAAACGAATCTGAAATAACAAAACATCTCAATTTAGTATGAACTTACAGGAAAGCCTTTAGTAAGTCTTACCTACAGATACTGTGAATGTCTTCTAAAGTTCACTTATCATTTATAACAGGGGTGCTCAACCTTTTGATGAGCGAGGGACACTTAAGTGATTTGGTTACCGGTCGAGCCACAATGGAATGAAATGGTTCATAATTTCAAAAATGTTATTTTTAATAGCATAATGAACAGTTTTTCCTCCTGCAGCTGCTGAATGCTGGTGGGAGGGAAAGGAGGAGAAGCTGGCATTCAGCAGTTTCAGGAGGAAAATTGAGAATATTTTTTTGGTGTACATACCACCCCCACTGCCCCTCCTGTTCAAGTGTAAAACAGAATGTGACAGTGAGGCCGCTTGGGGCTCCTAAAGCATGGGGGAGGGGTCACCATTGTGATCCCTGACACTACACCAGTGGTTGGGGGGGTGTGATGAAAACACGTCTCAGATATGGGGTTTTACCTCCACAAATGTAAATGAGCCCTTACTGTCCTGAGCCCCCTAAAAAGGATGCTTTCAAATTGATACGTTGCGGTTTCCCCGCACCACAGGTGCAGCATAGTGCAGCTGGGGATTTCCTGTGGGTTAGCTGTGCTTTGCCATAGATGTCTATAATGTCTTGCGGGTGTGGTGCACTTTATGGAAGCGCACCAAAACTCCTGCATTCAGTTTGAGGTTGAGGACCACATCAGAGAGCTCCGAGGGCCACATGGAGGTTGAGCACCCCTGATTTAGATGATGTTTGCTTTGCCTACAGTCAATGATACCATTGGTTCATTCTTGGTAGCTCTGCATTCATGGCATTTTGCATGTGCAATGATTAGAGAGAGCACTATGAAGTGATGGTGACTCCTGTGCACATGTTTGAGTGACATCTTTGGCCATCTTGGGTTTGGCACCAGCTGCTGCTAACAAGGCCTATGCTTGTGATCACACTGGAAAAATAACATCAAAGGTCCGGTTCACTTCTGCTTTATTCACATTGTTGTCAACCAAGCCCTGATGAAGGGGTGCTCTTGGATCTCTAAAACAGTGATTCCCATGCAGTTCCCTAGAAAGGTGAGGCCTCTTTTCTGTTATATTGCATAAAAATGAACGTTTATTGGTGTCATCAATCTTTATGCTCTATTTACAGAAAATACAGAAGAAACAAGGCCTGCTCCAGGACATACATTTCAGGAGATATGACAGTAAGCAATAAAACAAACTATTTGATTACTGGTGAAACAACTAGTTCAAATAATGTTCTCTTCTTAAGATTTTGAAGTAGAAGATGTTGTATGAACACCTCATCCACCACATTATATTATAGCTATTTTTATTTATACTGTTGCAATTAGAGATGAGCGAATTTTTCAAAAATTCGATTCGGCTGATTCGGCGAATTCCAGTATGAAATTCGATTCGATGCGAATTTCTTCGCTACGAAGTTAACTTATTAAAAGGGTTTCTAGGCTTCAGAGAGCCTTTAAATTAGTGCAGAACACTGTACCTTTAATTTAAATGCCCTTGGAGATGAGGAAGGAGAAGGAGAAGGCTGAGAAGAAGGAGAAGGAGAAGGCTGAGAAGAAGGAGAAGGAGAAGGCTGAGAAGGAGAAGAGAAGGATGAGAAGGAGGAGAAGGATGAGAAGGATGAGAAGAATGGAAGAAGGAGAAGGAGAAGGAGAGAAGAAGGAGAAAGAGAAGGATGAGAAGATGGAGAAGGAGAAGGATGAGAAGAAGGAGAAGGAGAAGGATGAGAAGAAGGAGAAGGAGAAGGATGAGAAGAAGGAGAAGGAGAAGGATGAGAAGAAGGAGAAGGAGAAGGATGAGAAGAAAGGAGAAGGAGAAGGATGAGAAGAAGGAGAAGGATGAGAAGAAAGGAGAAGAATGAGAAGAATGAGAAGAAGGAGAAGGATGAGAAGAAGGAGAAGGATGAGAAGAAGGAGAAGGAAGAGAAAAAGAAGGAGAAGGATGAGAAGAAGGAGAAGGATGAGAGAAGAAGGAGAAGGATGAGAAGAAGGAGAAGGATGAGAAGAAGGAGAAGGAGAAGATGAGAAGGAGGAATGAGAAGATGGAGAAGGAGAAGGATGAGAAGATGGAGAAGGAAGAAGAAGGATGAGAAGATGGAGAAGGAGAAGGATGAGAAGATGGAGAAGAGAAGGATGAGAAGAAGGAGAAGAAGAAGGAGAAGGATGAGAAGAAGGAGAAGGAGAAGGATGAGAAGAAGGAGAAGGATGAGAAGAAGGAGAAGGAGAAGGATGAGAAGAAGGAGAAGGAGAAGGATGAGAAGAAGGAGAAGGAGAAGGATGAGAAGAAGGAGAAGGATGAAGGAGATGAAGAAGAAGGAGAAGGATGAGAAGAAGGATGAGAAGAAGGATGAGAAGAAGGAGAAGGATGAGAAGAAGGAGAAGGATGAGAGAGAGAAGGATGAGAAGAAGGAAGGAGAAGGATGAGAAGAAGGATGAGAAGAAGGAGAAGGATGAGAAGAAGGATGAGAAGAAGGAGAATTAAATGAGAAGAAGGAGAAGGAGAAGGATGAGAAGAAGGAGAAGGATGAGAAGAAGGAGAAGGATGAGAAGAAGGAGAAGGAGAAGAAGAAGAAGGAGAAGGATGAGAAGAAGGAGAAGGAGAAGGATGAGAAGATGGAGAAGGAGAAGGATGAGAAGAAGGAGAAGGAGAACAGGAAAAGAAGAAGGAGAAAGGAGAAGGAGAAGGATGAGAAGAAGAAGGAGAAGGAGAAGGATGAAGAAGAAGGAGAAGGATGAGAAGAAGGAGAAGGAGAAGGATGAGAAGAAGGAGAAGAGAGGAGAGAAGAAGGAGAAGGATGAGAAGAAGGAGAAGGATGAGAAGAAGGAGAAGGATGAGAAAGAAGGATGAGAAGAAGGAGAAGGATGAGAAGAAGGAGAAGGATGAGAAGAAGGATGAGAAGAAGGATGAGAAGAAGGAGAAGGATGAGAAGAAGGAGAAGGAGAAGGATGAGAAGAAGGAGAAGGAAGAGATGAGAAGAAGGAGAAGGATGAGAAGAAGGATGAGAAGAAGGAGAAGGATGAGAAGAAGGACAGTTCTGTGACAGTTTCTGTCTATTTCTGACAGTTTTCTGGGACATTGACTCCATACAGCGGTTTTCAAACCGCTGTATGGAGGGAATGTCATAGAACTGTCAGAAATAGACTATTTCTAACAGTTCTGGGACACTCACATCCATACAGCGGTTGAAACATTGTATCTATTTGTTTCCATAAATGGATCCATTTATGGAAACAAATAGATACAATGTTTCAACCGCTGTATGGAAGGAATGTCCCAGAAACTGATGAAAACAAGTCTCAGATATGGGGTTTTACCTCCACAAATGTAAATGAGCCCTTACTGTCCTGAGCCCCCTAAAAAGGATGCTTTCAAATTGATACGTTGCGGTTTCCCCGCACCACAAGGTGCAGCATAGTGCAGCTGGGGATTTCCTGTGGGTTAGCTGTGCTTTGCCGTAGATGTCTATAATGTCTTGCGGGTGTGGTGCACTTTATGGAAGCGCACCAAAACTCCTGCATTCAGTTTGAGGTTGAGGACCACATCAGAGAGCTCCGAGGGCCACATGGAGGTTGAGCACCCCTGATTTAGATGATGTTTGCTTTGCCTACAGTCAATGATACCATTGGTTCATTCTTGGTAGCTCTGCATTCATGGCATTTTGCATGTGCAATGATTAGAGAGAGCACTATGAAGTGATGGTGACTCCTGTGCACATGTTTGAGTGACATCTTTGGCCATCTTGGGTTTGGCACCAGCTGCTGCTAACAAGGCCTATGCTTGTGATCACACTGGAAAAATAACATCAAAGGTCCGGTTCACTTCTGCTTTATTCACATTGTTGTCAACCAAGCCCTGATGAAGGGGTGCTCTTGGATCTCTAAAACAGTGATTCCCATGCAGTTCCCTAGAAAGGTGAGGCCTCTTTTCTGTTATATTGCATAAAAATGAACGTTTATTGGTGTGTCATCAATCTTTATGCTCTATTTACAGAAAATATAGAAGAAACAAGGCCTGCTCCAGGACATACATTTCAGGAGATATGACAGTAAGCAATAAAACAAACTATTTGATTACTGGTGAAACAACTAGTTCAAATAATGTTCTCTTCTTAAGATTTTGAAGTAGAAGATGTTGTATGAACACCTCATCCACCACATTATATTATAGCTATTTTTATTTATACTGTTGCAATTAGAGATGAGCGAATTTCTCAAAAATTCGATTCGGCTGATTCGGCGAATTCCAGTATGAAATTCGATTCGATGCGAATTTCTTCGCTACGAAGTTAACTTATTAAAAGGGTTTCTAGGCTTCAGAGAGCCTTTAAATTAGTGCAGAACACTGTACCTTTAATTTAAATGCCCTTGGAGATGAGGAAGAGAAGGCTGAGAAAGAAGGAGAAGGATGAGAAGGATGAGAAGAAGGAGAAGGCTGAGAAGAAGGAGAAGGATGAGAAGGATGAGAAGAAGGAGAAGGAGAAGGATGAGAAGAAGGATGAGAAGAAGGAGAAAGGATGAGAAGAAGGATAAGGATGAGAAGAAGGATAAGGATGAGAAGAAGGAGAAGGAGAAGGATGAGAAGAAGGAGAAGGAGAAGGATGAGAAGAAGGAGAAGAGAAGGATGAGAAGAAGGAGAAGGAGAGAAGGATGAGAAGAAGGAGAAGGAAGAAGGATGAGAAGAAGGAGAAGGAGAAGGATGAGAAGAAGGAGAAGGAGGAGAAGATGAGAAGAAGAGAAGGAGGAGAAGAAGGATGACAAGAAGGAGAAGGATGAGAAGAAGGATGAGAAGAAGGAGAAGGATGAGAAGAAGGATGAGAAGAAGAGAAGGATGAGAAGAAGGATGAGAAGAAGGAGAAGGATGAGAAGAAGGAGAAGGATGAGAAGAAGGATGAGAAGAAGGATGAGAAGAAGGAGAAGAAGGATGAGAAGAAGGATGAGAAGAAGGAGAAGGATGAGAAGAAGGAGAAGGATGAGAAGAAGGAGAAGGATGAGAAAGGAGAAGGATGAGAAGAAGGAGAAGGATGAGAGAAGAAGGAGAAGAGATGAGAAGAAGGAGGAAAGCAGAAGCAGAAAGGAGAAGGAGGAGAAAGATGGAGAAGGAGAAGGAGGAGAAGATGGAGAAGGAGAAGGAGGAGAAGAAGGAGAAGGAGAAGGAGGAGAAGAAGAGAAGGAGAAGGATGAGAAGAAGGAGAAGGATGAGAAGAAGGAGAAGGATGAGAAGAAGGAGAAGGATGAGAAGAAGGAGAAGGATGAGAAGAAGAAGGAGAAGGATGAGAAGAAGGAGAAGGATGAGAAGATGAGAAGGAAGGATGAGAAGAAGGAGAAGAAGGATGAGAAGAAGGAGAAGAAGGATGAGAAGAAGGAGAAAGAAGGATGAGAAGAAGGAGAAGGATGAGAAGAAGGAGAAGGATGAGAAGAAGGAGAAGGATGAGAAGAAGGACAGTTCTGTGACAGTTTCTGTCTATTTCTGACAGTTCTGGGACATTCACTCCATACAGCGGTTGAAACATTGTATCTATTTGTTTCCATAAATGGATCCATTTATGGAAACAAATAGATACAATGTTTCAACCGCTGTATGGAAGGACAGTCCCAGAACTGTCATTAATAGTCTATTTCTGACAGTTCTATGACATTCCCTCCATACAGCGGTTGAAACCGCTGTATGGAGTGAATGTCCCAGAACTGTCAGAAATAGTCTATTTCTGACAGTTCTGGGACTGTCAGGGCTCCCAGGTATGACCAGAGGTGTGTGACTGACGCAGGGAAACGCACACTTCAGATATGTGATTAACAATGTAATTTATTAACACTAACAATACAAACATAAACGCAGTGCAATACTAAACATAATACAGTGCAAACAAACCCAACCAACCACCCACAGATAACAGTACATACAAGCAAGCGTCGTCAGGCAGGCCGGGTCAATATCAATTGGGCAGGTAGGTACAGGGGGAGCAAGCGGAGAATGGTCGGGGTCACAGGCCAGGTTCAGCAGGTAGCAAGCAGCATAGTACAGAGGGTCAGGCAGAGGGATGGTCCGGGTCACAAGCCAGGGATCAGAACAGGTAGCAAGCAGCGTAGTACAGAGGGTCAGACAGAGGGATGGTCAGGGTCACAAGCCAGGATCAGAGCAGGAGAAGTCAGCAAAGGAACAGAAACAGGATGCAGGACAGATACAGGGCCCAGGACAAACACAACACCAAGGCAGAGTCTGCAAGTCTGGCCATCCCTTAAATACACCAGTATCATCAGTTCCAGGTGTTAGCTGGCTGAAAGGTTGAGTCTCTGATTGCTGGGAGCACCCGCTGGCCAGCCCTGGTACTGCAGATCAAAAGGCAGGTGAGTCCCACCATTGCTGGCCAGTCCATTCCTAACAGTACCCCCCCCTCAAGGAGCGGCCTCAGGACGCTCCAAACAGTCCTAGCTGGGCAAAATGTTCCACCGCCCGGGTCTGGCAACTGGCGGGATATCAAAGACTGGCACACCGGGCAGGACTCCGGGCAGCGGCACACCGGGCTGGACTCCGGGCAGAGGCACATCGAGCAGAGGCACACCGGGCAGAGGCACATCGGGCAGGACTCCGGGCAGAGGCACATCGGGCAGGACTCCGGGCAGAGGCACATCGGGCAGGACTCCGGGCAGAGGCACATCGGATTACCAGGCGAAGCAGCAGGCAGCGGGCCACCAGGCGGAGCAGCAGGCACCGGGCCCCCGGGCGGATCGGCAGGCACCGGGCCCCCGGGCGGAGCGGCAGGCACCGGGCCCCCGGGCGGGGCGACAGGCACCGGGCCCCCGGGCGGGGCGACAGGCACCGGGCCCCCGGGCGGGGCGACAGGCACCGGGCCCCCGGGCGGGGCGACAGGCACCGGGCCCCCGGGCGGGGCGACAGGCACCGGGCCCCCAGGCGGGGCGACAGGCACCGGGCCCCCAGGCGGGGCGACAGGCACCGGGCCCCCAGGCGGGGCGACAGGCATCGGGCCCCCAGGCGGAGCGGCGGGCGCCGGACCCCCAGGTGGAGCGACAGGTCTCGGGCCCCCAGGCGGAGCGACAGATCTCGGGCCCTCAGGCGGAGCGGCGGGCGCCGGACCCCCAGGTGGAGCGACAGGTCTCGGGCCCTCAGGCGGAGCGGCGGGCGCCGGACCCCCAGGTGAGTGAGTACAGGTCTCGGGCCCTCAGGCGGGCGCCGGACCCCCAGGTGGAGCGACAGGTCTCGGGCCCTCAGGCGGAGCGGCGGGCGGGCGCGGACCCCCAGGCGGTGCGACAGGTCTCGGGCCCTCAGCGGAGCGACAGGTCTCGGGCCCCCAGGCGGGGCGGCGGGCGCCGGACCCCCAGGTGGAGCGGCGGGCGCTGGACCCCCAGGCGGAGCGACAGGTCTCGGGCCCCCAGGCGGAGCGGCGGCACCGAGTCACCAGGCACGACAGTGGGCTCCGAGTCAACTGGCATGACCGCTGGCACTAGGTCAGACATTGGATCGTCTGGCTGGACAGCGGGCATCGGGTCACCAGGCATCAGGTCATTTGGCTCGACAGCGGGCACCGCGTCATCTGGCAAGGCAGTGGGCTACGAGTCAACTGGTATGACCGCGGCACTGGGTCAGACATTGGATCGTCTGACCGGACAGCGGGCATCGGGTCACCAGGCATCAGGTCATTGGCTCGACCGCGGGCACCGCGTCATCTGCAAGGCAGTGGGCTCCGAGTCAACAGGCACGACAGTGGGCACCGGGGTCATCAGGTACCCGGATTGTCTGGCTCGACAGCAGGCATCGGGTCACCAGGTATGACAGCGGGCACTGGGATCACCAGGCATCAGGTCATTTTGGCTTGCCAGCGGGCACCGCGTCATCTGGCAAGGCAGTGGGCACCGGGTCACCAGGCATTGGATCGTCTGGTTCGACAGCGGGCATCGGGTCACCAGGTATGACAGCGGGCACTGGGTCACCAGGCATCAGGTCATTTGGCTCGCCAGCGGGCACCGCGTCATCTGGCAAGGCAGTGGGCACCGAGTCACCAGGTACGACAGCGGGCTCTGAGTCAATTGGCACGACAGCGGGCACCGGATCAGGTACCGGATCATCTGGATCAACAGCGGGCATCGAGTCAACTGGCCTAATAGGATCGTCAGGCTGGATCAGTTCATCATGCTGAGTAGAGGCATCAGGCTGAATGCCGGCGTCCGGCTGAGTAGAGGCTTCAGGCCGAGTAGAGGCTTCAGCCGAGTAGAGGCTTCAGGCCGAGTAGAGGCTTCAGGCTGAAGAGAGGCATCAGGCTGAAAGAGGCATCAGGCTGCGTACCGCATCAGGCTGAAGAGAGGCATCAGGCTGCGTACAGGCATCAGGCCGAGTACAGGCATCAGGCCGAGTAGAGGCTTCAGGCCGAGTAGAGGCATCAGGCCGAGTAGAGGCTTTCAGGCTGAAGAGAGGCATCAGCTGCATACAGGCATCAGGCTGAAGAGAGGCATCAGGCTGCGTACCGGCATCAGGCTGAAGAGAGGCATCAGCCGAGTAGAGGCTTCAGGCCGAGTACAGGCATCAGGCCGAGTACAGGCATCAGGCTGAGTACAGGCATCAGGCTGAGTAGAGGCTTCAGGCTGAGTAGAGGCTTCAGGCTGAACCACGGAAGGCAGGCTCACCGGTTTGGATACTGGCAGGATGGTATTGGTTGGAAAGAATTTTCGCTTTTTTCTGGTTTTAACTACTGGAGCACTGCAAGTAAACGCAGGTCTGCAAACGAATGGAGCAGCTGGAGACAGAGAAGAACTGGAGGATGGAACAGGAGAGGGAGCAGTTGCTACAGAGGGCTTTTTTTACAGGGTTAAAGGCAGGATAGGTGCAGCGAGTGGGAACAGGGTACTGACATGCGGTAGATAGCCAAGTATACTGGGCTGTAACTGGAGGAGCTGTTGGGAATACAGGAGTAGAGTTAGAAGCAGGACTGGGTTTTTGTAAGCTGACTGAGGCTGGGTGCAACAAGTCTGTCCATGTCTGCAGTATGGGTTGAACAAAGCTGAGCTTACACAAAGCCTGTCTGACCAAAGACTGCACTGCGTTTATACAATCTCTTAGTGTCTGTGGTGAACATGTGGAATAACGTTCCAGAAAGTAACCCACATCATCCTCTAATAACCACACCAGGGACTCTACCTGGTCTGCACACTAAATGGTGGCAAAAATTCATCCCTGCATTCGGGGGTAGTACCAGATGAAACCAACTCTGCACAAACCTCAATCAAAGGCTGCACCTCAGAGAACTCTGTGCCCTGATCTACTAGAACATGAGCGAGCCGTATACATTCTAGCAGTTCATCCCGGGGATACTCCTTCAGAGTTTGATAAGCATACTCCCTGTCATCAAACACTAGCAGATATAAATACGCAACCTCATCCAGATCCATCCTTCCCATCAACAAGCCAAGATGGCTTCCCTGTGCAGCCACTTCTGGTCAGGACTGGCCTTGGTGTAATGTCAGGGCTCCCAGGTATGACCAGAGGTGTGTGACTGACGCAGGGAAACGCACACTTCAGATATGTGATTAACAATGTAATTTATTAACACTAACAATACAAACATAAACGCAGTGCAATACTAAACATAATACAGTGCAAACAAACCCAACCAACCACCCACAGATAACAGTACATACAAGCAAGCGTCGTCAGGCAGGCCGGGTCAATATCAATTGGGCAGGTAGGTACAGGGGGAGCAAGCGGAGAATGGTCGGGGTCACAGGCCAGGTTCAGCAGGTAGCAAGCAGCATAGTACAGAGGGTCAGGCAGAGGGATGGTCCGGGTCACAAGCCAGGGATCAGAACAGGTAGCAAGCAGCGTAGTACAGAGGGTCAGACAGAGGGATGGTCAGGGTCACAAGCCAGGATCAGAGCAGGAGAAGTCAGCAAAGGAACAGAAACAGGATGCAGGACAGATACAGGGCCCAGGACAAACACAACACCAAGGCAGAGTCTGCAAGTCTGGCCATCCCCAAATGACATTCTGCAGATACACTTAGAGGAGCGCTGCAGATACACTTTTTGCCGGCTTGGAATTATTCTTATTTTCATCCTACTTCTTCTTCTTCTTCATCCTCATCCTCTTCTTCTTCTTATGAGGATGAGGATGAAGAAGAAAGAAGTAGGATGAAAATAAGATTAATTCCAAGCCGGCAAAAAGTGTATCTGCAGCGCTCCTCTAAGTGTATTTGCAGAATGTCATTTATGGAAAAAAATAGATACAATGTTTCAACCGCTGTATGGAGTGAGTGTCCCAGAACTGTCATAAATAGTCTATTTCTGACAGTTCTGGGACATTCACTCCATACAGCGGTTTCAACCGCTGTATGGAGGGAATGTCATAGAACTGTCAGAAATAGACTATTAATGACAGTTCTGGGACTGTCCTTCCATACAGCGGTTGAAACATTGTATCTATTTGTTTCCATAAATGGATCCATTTATGGAAACAAATAGATACAATGTTTTCAACCGCTGTATGGAAGGAATGTCCCAGAACTGTCATAAATAGTCTATTTCTGACAGTTCTGGGACATTCCCTCCATACAGCGGTTTTCCGGCAAAAAGTGTATGTGCAGAGTTCCTCTATTCTGCAGATACACTTAGAGGAGCTCTGCAGATACACTTAGAGGAGCTCTGCAGATACACTTTTTGCCGGCTTGGAATTATTCTTATTTTCATCCTACTTCTTCTTCTTCTTCTTCTTCATCCTCATCCTCTTCTTCTTCTTCTGAGGATGAGGATGAGGATGAAGAAGAAGAAGTAGGATGAAAATAAGATTAATTCCAAGCCGGCAAAAAGTGTATGTGCAGAGCTCCTCTAAGTGTATCTGCAGAGCTCCTCTAAGTGTATCTGCAGAATAGAGGAACTCTGCACATACACTTTTTGCCGGCTTGGAATTATTCTTATTTTCATCCTACTTCTTCTTCTTCTTCTTCTTCTTCTTCTTCATCCTCATCCTCTTCTTCTTCTTCTGAGGATGAGGATGAAGAAGAAGAAGAAGTAGGATGAAAATAAGATTAATTCCAAGCCGGCAAAAAGTGTATGTGCAGAGCTGCTCTAAGTGTATCTGCAGAATAGAGGAACTCTGCACATACACTTTTTGCCGGCTTGGAATTATTCTTATTTTCATCCTACTTCTTCTTCTTCTTCTTCTTCTTCTTCTTCATCCTCATCCTCATCTCTTCTTCTTCTTCTGAGGATGAGGATGAGGATGAAGAAGAAGAAGAAGAAGAAGAAGAAGAAGTAGGATGAAAATAAGATTAATTCCAAGCCGACAAAAAGTGTATGTGCAGAGCTCCTCTAAGTGTATCTGCAGAGCTCCTCTAAGTGTATCTGCAGAATAGAGGAACTCTGCACATACACTTTTTTGCCGGCTTGGAATTATTCTTATTTTCATCCTACTTCTTCTTCTTCTTCTTCTTCTTCATCCTCATCCTCTTCTTCTTCTTCTGAGGATGAGGATGAAGAAGTAGAAGAAGAAGAAGAAGTAGGATGAAAATAAGAATTCCAAACCGGCAAAAAGTGTTATGTGCAGAGTTCCTCTATTTCTGACAGTTCTCTGACAGCTTCTTCACATGTACAGCGGTTGAAACATCTGTATCCTAAATGGAAACTAATAGATACAATGTTTCAACCGCTTCACATGTGTTCCTTCTGTCAGAGAACTGTCAGAAATAGCGGAACTCACTGCAGGGACACTTTTGCCTGGCTGATCGGGAAATGTTCGATTCGCGCACCCGAAGTAGGCAAAATTTCGGATTCGACGCGAATCGAATATTTCCTGAAATTCGACTCGAATTCCGGTTCGCCTGGTTCGATTCGCTCATCTCTAGTTGCAATATATGAGGGTTTTTCAAAAATTTGCTGCACTTTTTCAAATTCTATTATATGCTGTACAGGTGAAACTCGAAAAATTAGAATATCGTCCAAAAGTTCATTTATTTCAGTAATGCAACTTACAAGGTGAAACGTATATATGAGATAGACTCATTACATACAAAGCAAGATAGTTCAAGCCGTGATTTGTCATAACTGTGATGATTATGGCTTACAGCTCATGAAAACCCCAAATCTACAATCTCAGAAAATGAGAATATTGCATGTAATCAATAAAAAAAGGATTGTACATAGAACAATATCGGACCTCTGAAAAGTATAGGCATGCATATGTACTCAGTACTTGGTTTGGGCCCCTTTTGCAGCAATTACTGCCTCAATGCGGCGTGGCATGGAAGCTATCAGCCTGTGGCACTGCTGAGGTGTTATGGAAGACCAGGATGCTTCAATAGCGGCCTTTAGTTCTTCTGCATTGTTCACTCTCAGGTCTCTCATCTTTCTCTTGGCAATGCCCCATAGATTCTCTATGGGGTTCAGGTCAGGCGAGTTTGCTGGCCAATCAATCACAGTAATCCCACGGTCATTGAACCAGGCTTGGTGCTTTTGGCAGTGTGGGCAGGTGCCAAGTCCTGCTGTAAAATGAAGTCAGCATCCCCATAAAGCTCATCTGCGGAAGGAAGCATGAAGTGCTCCAAAATCTTCTGGTAGACGGCTGCGTTGACGTTGACCCTGGACTTAATGAAGCACAGTGGACCTATACCAGCACATGACATGGCTCCCCAAATCAACACAGACTGTGGAAACTTCACACTGGACTTCAAGCATCTTGCAGTGTGTGCCTCTCCATTCTTCCTCCATACTCTGGGTCCTTGGTTTCCAAATGAGATGCAAAAGTTGCTCTCATCAGAAAAGAGGACTTTGGATCACTGAGCAACAGACCAGGTCTGTTTTTCTTTAGCCCATGTACGACGCTTCTGACATTGTTTGTTGTTAAGGAGCGTCTTGACAAGAGGAATACGACATTTGAAGCCCATGTCCAGGATCCGTATTTGTGTGGTTGCT